GGAAGGAAGGAAGGAAGGAAGGAAGGAAGGAAGGAAGGAAGGAAGGAAGGAAGGACGGAAGGAAGGGAAAGAAAGAAAGAGAAAGAAACCAGGAGGGCTACAAACAGAGACCACTGCTAAATCCAGCTGCCACCTGTCTGCACACATGGAGTTTTCTTGAAGCAGAACAGCACCTATCATTTACGGAGTGTCCATGGCCTGCTTCCCTGCTACACTGGCAACATTGGACCTTTGCCATTGAGACCAGTGGCACCCAAGCCTAAACTATTTACTGTCCAGGGAGCATGCAGCAGCCAGGGAGGCCCACTCGGGCCAGAACCCACTAACCTAGACCCAAGAGAAAAGCATCTGTTCCTGTTCACTGACTTGCCACTGCCCAGGCTGCCAGGCGCTCTCATAGTCTTCCCCTTTCTTCTGCCCTCCTCCTACCTCCTCTGGAAATATAGGCACTTAGGGATTTGCCTCTGCCCTGCAGAAAATCCCCACCTCCCAGGGCAGGTGCAGTGGGGAGAGCCAGAGCAGGTGCACAGCACGCGAGGCAGGCTTTCCTGAGCCCCACAGCTAGGGGCAACCAGCTAGCACCAAGTTCAGAAAGCAGCACTTCATCACAGGCATGGGCACAGGGAAGCCACCTCTCTACACACTGGCCAGGTGTCAGCTGTGCACCTTGCATGCTTCCTTATTGAAACCCCTCCCTACCAGGAGACCACCATCAGATTTGGAGATGGAGCCTCAGGGGTCGATGTGTGTCCACATTTGACCAGGTATAACCTGGTGGCCCCTGAGCTCAACCGTGGTCCCCTGGAGTCCACACTTCTGCAACTGCCCCCAGCCCACCTGTGGCCTGGGAGCTCGCATTCCACAAATGGTCACTGAGCACCAGCCGTGTGACAAGCCCAGGGCAAAGCCCTGGGAATAAGACAGTGAACAAACCAGACGGAATCCCAACTGGAACTCACACGCTCTCGTGGGGTGGACACATGAATAGAATGCTCAGCACGTCAGATGGCAGTCAGGGCTGAGCAGACAATAAAGCCAGGAAGGGAGATGGAAGGTGAGGGGCGAGGGGCACCATCTTATAGGGTGGCCATGAGAGGCTTCACTGGGGGTGGTGATGTTTGAGAAAGCGCTGAAGGAGGTGAGTGGTCCAGACACGGGGCATCTGAGAGAAACACCTTATCCTTGACAAAGGACTGAGAGGGAGGCCTAGGCAACCTGTGACATGAAGTGGGAGCTGGGAAGGAGGAAGAGGATAGTGAGATCCCCTGCAGTCCCTGAAATGGGGGGCCTTCACACAGCGCCCTATTTGCACGTGCACTTGCACACACACATACACACCGAGGCCAGCTTTCAGAGGCTGTCTGAAATTGTCAGTAGCCTCTTTTGGGTACCTGGCCCTGCAGGAAGCAGTGTGAGTGTGGGCCCCCTGTCCCCCCGCACCTGCAGTCCACAGAGCACACAGGAGCCTCAGGGAGCAGGGAGAATATGCGTGGGCCCCTCACCCACTGCTCTGGGTAAGTGCAAGCTCTGGGGGCATCAGCCCAGGAGAGAGCACAGATCAGCAACTTTCTCCCCTTGTGGTGGAAGGGCTGCCCCAGTGGTGAACGGAGAACAGAATTGTGAGAGGGTGTGGATAAGGGAGGTCTCCAAGCTGCCACCTACCTGGGGGAGGAAGGCCAGGAGCCACACTGGGCCCCACCCACTCCTCCCTGACACAATGAAAGTACAGCCCACATACATGGCCTCCTTCTCCTCTCTGAAATCAGAGAGGCAAAGAGAGCAGTTCAGGCTAGAACCCAGCATTCCACTACCTCAGTCTCACTCACTCTAGGTAATGTAACTCACCCAGAAGACAAGTCACACTCAAGGTCAGGATCCGAAGACCCAGAGGGGTGCTGGGAGGTGATTTTCATCTGCTTACTGTGATGAATGGTCCAGGGAGGGCACGTGAGCAAAGCCCCTCCAGCTAAGCACAAGGGCTCCTTCTGTGTGCCTCCTCTCCTCATAAATCATATAATGCCAGGACAAGAATCCAGTTGCTACAGAAGCTACTGACTCCTGATTCCTGCACTTCTCATCTTCACCTAACGCCTTGAAAGTTGGCCATCTGTCTGTACTTGGAATCGCTCGTGCATACCAAAACACATTCACATTTCTTATCCCTCTGTCCTCACCACAGCCTGGGACAGTGGCAGGCAGGGGGTGGAGAAGGAGATCACATTCACGGAGCCCCCCCTGTGCCAGGCGAGCTGCCAGTGTGCTCTCGGGAGGAGAGTGTTATTATGCCCTTGTTTAGAAGACAAGGTCTGGGGTCCAGATACAACTTGGTATCCTGAGTGTTCCTGAATAAATGAGATTGGAAAGATGTGAAATAATAGTCCGAAAGCCACAGCAATAGCAAATGGCAGAACCACAACTAGATTTCAGGTGAGTTTCACAACCCCTGTCCCCCACAGACTCACGGCAGGCAGACCGTGCCAGCCTCTCTTCTCAGGCGAACCACATGCTTTAGGTACCATAATTTTAAGTGGACAAATGGTTTCGTGCTTAAGCACTGCCAGATCCTCTCCACAACCCGCACACATGTACACACACACACACACACACACACACACACACACACACGGGCACAGCAACACTGTTAGGAGACTTAAATGGTATCTCTTAAAATCCAAGAGGGTTGCCTCTTAGATTTAAGCGCTAGTCTCTGCTGAGCTTGGATCCTGTGCTGCCTGAGGGCTCCCAGGTCATTCCTGAGCAGGGATGCCTGTGGTACCTTGTCCTATGAGACCCCGTGTCTGAGTAGATGGTGAGACACCTGCCTCCTGTCGGCAACATCAGGACAGAGCCTGGCCTCACAGGCAGGCAGCTTGGTGGCTGTGTCCCAGCGTGCCTGGGCATTGTATCATAATATTTCTTCCGAGGTCCTTTTCTCTCCTCCCCTTATTCAAGCTGATGGAAATGGCTTCTGCACCCAGGCCTGCCTCTGATAAGCCTCCAAGCGGGAGAAACAGCAGAACTGAGCCTCTTATCAGGCAGCTGCAGGGGAGTCTGGTGCCCCGTGCTGGGTGCCCTGGTGCTGATAAAGTGGGCCTGGGCCAGCTGCTCTCCAGCTGCTCCCTCAGACCCGTCTTCAGGCCCCAACCTCTCAGAAATGGGAGCAGTGAAACCCAGGAAACTTCTTTACTTTCTGACATACCAAAGCAAGGCAGGCTTCTGGTGGCCATGGAAGAGAGGACCTGATTGGAAACACAAGGGAATACAGGCTTGGCCAGGCTGCAGGTGGAGAAACAAGCACGAGAGAGGCCCTCGGTCCCTGAATGTGGCGGTGGGAGCTGGTGCCTCCTACAGGCGTGGCAGGAGCTTGTGTGTGGTTTGCCACTGCTCAGAATTCTCTGTGAGGCAGACACTGGTGCTCCACTGAGACTCAGAGAAGGACAGTTTTTTTTAAGTGTTGTCTGTTTAAGCTATGATGTGGTGTGGTCCGGTTGGAAGCCAGGTCTGCTGGTGCCAGCCAAAAGCCCAAACACCTTGGTCCTTCCTGGGAGCTGTGGCTGGAAGAGTTCACCCCTCCAAAATCCCAGCCCCCCAAACACACACCGTGTTTGACTCAGCACATTTTACCTTCAGAAGTTAACTTTTTTCCCTCTGCTTCTGTTGCTGTTAAGCCCCTAACGTATTCAGACAAAAGTCTGACCAGCAGTCAAGCTGACATGCAATGATTGGAACATACTTATATTCAACCAGTTTTCATTGTTAATCTGAAAGTCGGATTTACTGGCTTCCTGTATTGTGTCTGGCAGCTGTAGTAGAACAGGACCTGAACATGGGTGTTTCTGAAAGGGCTCCCAGATGATTTCAAGGTGCAGCCAGAGCTGAGCGCCCAGGGCGAGTGGCTCCTGCTAAGCATGCCCACCTGCCGCAGGCGTGCCAGGCCCTGCTGAAAAGCCCAAGGTGGACGGAGCCTTCCTCATCAGAAACATCCTCCGGGGGCTTTCCCAGGTTCCTTTCTTCCTACCCTTGGCATCCATCTCGTGGATTCTTCCCACAATGGACAGAAATCTATTTTGTATGTAAATGTGGAATCTGAGACATAGCTTAATTTTTAATACTTTACTGTGATTGTGGCAGTGATTCAGTAAGCAAGCATATGGAAACATAGGATAATAAATGATTATTCACAACCCCCCTACCTCTCCCATCACACTGACGTTCGCTTCATTGGCTTCTGCTCACACTCCTGCCTAAACCCCAGATTCTCAGACTGCCAGCCTCTCCCGCAGCTCCCACCTCACACCCAGACTCTCTGTCCATCACTCCACCCTTGTGAGCCTCTCATTGTGGATTCATCCTGATTCTTTCTCAGTAGCTTCTAAGGGCTAAACAATGGGCTCTCCTTACCAGCACTGCCTGAGAAAACCCAGAGTTCTTAGCCTGGTCTTCAGGACCCTTCATTGCCCATTGCTCACCCAAGCAGGTGAGGAACAAAATGTATTAGTGATATTAACCATAGTAGTGATGGTGGAAGAAGTGATAAGACGAGGAAAAGAAAAAGAGAAAAATAAGCTAATGGTATGTACTAGGTTTAGCCGTTTATATTCTTTCCATTTTTTCTTCCTAAAACCATAGCTTTTATACTTCCACAAACAACTCAGAAGTCGTTATTTAAATGTGTAAAAAAAAAAAGGTAATACATTTGTTTCATGATGAAACCATCCATACTTGAAATTGACACAATTATCTGAAATCTGCACTGTTGTAGACAATCTGGCTTCTCTAGGAGCCTCTAATGCTGATTGAAGAGACAGATCCACCCCCCTGTAGCTGCCTCCTGTCTTTGTGGGCAGCTGTTTTCACTCTGTTACTGTTTGCTTAAGCAAAGGCTTCTTGCCTTTATCAGGGAAATTAGCACACCAGTCTGATAGAAGAGTAGATTGTGTTTCGGCTTACCCTTCTTCTCCTAAGATTAAGTGTTAGCTTTCAAAGCTGCTTTTGAAGTGGTAAGAATCCTGATGAGAAATGACCAGCAAAGCCTCCTGTTTACATCGGAAGCATCAAAACAGCATGACTGGGCCAATTCACCCATCCCTGTTGGTCATTAGACATTAATTGGTTGTCCAACTTCAACCACATCACCTACAAAACCCTGCAGTGAAACAAAGTCTAAGTCAGTTGACTTTTCTTTGATTAGTCTCCAGCATATTTATCACTTCCTATGAAAGAAACATCTAATTTAGATGGCAGTTGATTTGTGTCATGGGATTTCAGCTGACAGGAGGCAGAGTTATGTATGTGTTTATGGCTTCTTTGCTTTTAAAAGATTAATGTTGGGCAAACATAAATCACAAGACCTGGACAGGGGGCTGGGAAGATGGAGAAGGAGCTTGCCAGGGTGATGGATTGAGATGTATTTTAGAAGATTTTCATCTGCTAGAAAAACAGCGGGAAGATGGGGCTGAGGGGTGGTAGGGCAGGGACAGTGAAGAGAAATGGCTTTTTCTCCATGAGCACAGAGAAAAGGCAGAACAGGGGCTTGAGCCAAGGGAGGTGGCTTCCTGGCTGTATTTCAGATGCAAAATGAAAGTGAATTGGTAACTTCCGAAAGCTCCTTTCCTGCCCTGATACCCAGAAGACTGGATTGGAGGACCAAGGAGGGCTCTCAGCACAGCTGGAAGTACCCAGGGCACCCAGCTGCTCCAAGAGATAAAGTGCTCCCTGCCTGCCCCAGTCACAGCCTGGCCCCTGAAGCCAGGCTCCCACACCAGACCCTTCCATAGAGCAAGTCTAAGCTTCTGTCCCCGAGGCTGTGTGTGTGTGTGCATGTGTGTGTGCGCATGTGGGAGAGTGTATGTGTGAGAGGAATGTATGTGTGAGAGTGTGTGTGTCTGCATGTGTGCCTGTGTGTGCACATGTGGGAGAGTGTATGTAAGAAGATATATGTGTGAGTGCATGTTAGTGTGACTGTGTGTTAGTGTGAGTTTGTGTAAGGGCAAGAGTGTGAGAGAGTATGTAAGAGAGAATGTGTGTATGAGAGTGTGAGCGTGAGAGTGTGAATGTGAGTGTGAGACCGTATTTGAGAGTGCATATGAGAGTGTGTGGGTGTGTGTGTGAGTCTGTGTGTGTATGTGACTCTGTGTGTGTGTGAGTGTGTGTGTGGGTGTGTGATCATCCTTAAATATATGAGGACAATAAGAATACCTACCATGTGCAGGGCAATGCCCCAGGGAGCCACACTCAGTGCTGTGTGTGTATTGCCTGCCATAATCCTTCACTAGGAACTAGCGAAGGATCCAGGAGGGGTGCATTGAGTGGGGACACAGGCCCCAGGACTTATTGCCAAATCTCTCTAGCACCAAAACCCATGCTCCCTGTACCACCTATCAGGATACCCCCTTAAAGCATGTTTAAGATGCTTTTTGGAAGGAGCCATTTGTTGGTGTGCATTTGTCTTTTTCACTACCCCAAACAGTACCTGCCCAATATTCAGATGAAAATGCCCCCTGTCTTTCGTAGCAGGCTTTCAAACATGAGTCTGACATAAAAGAAAAATGAGGGCATCACCAACAGCAATGGCTAACATATACAGTGTACACACTCCCCCCAGCCTTCACAGGCATCCTCTCCTGCGAGCCTGGTCACCACCCTCTGCTGCAGGCTCCCTCCCCATCCCACAGAGCCAGTGTGCCTCTGGCTGGCCTGAACAGGGAGAAGGCAGTGGCCTTTCCTGAAGCCTTGCATTCTCGTGGAGCCCTCCCTGGCTGGGGAGGAGGAGAAGCCTTCCAGGGAATGAGGAGAAGTGGTCCCTGCGTCCTGTTCCTGCACTTTTCCTTCCTTTCAGCATCCTTCGCCACTGCATCTCCACTGTTTGTGCCATAAACTGTGGGTCCTATGGTCTCTGGGCCACCTTGGCCTCCCCTCCCTCAGCACATCTCCTGGGGAGGCACAGCCATCTGCCTTGGGAGGCAGACACAAGCCCCCTCCTTGCAGCCAATCCTCCTGAATGTTCGGACTGAGGTTCCAGGCAGCAAAATGTCCTCCTGCCTCCAACTGCCCCTGCGGTCCTGCCCACTCCCTACATGGGCTCTGCTGCTCCTGCCTGTCAAACCAGGTGGAGGAAGGAGGTAAACACTTCCCACATCCTGCTCACCGACTGATGAGCCTTCTGGAAACCCAATGACAAAGCGTGCCTAACTAAATCATCATTATTTACACATGCAGCCCGATCGAGGGCATTTAGTCATGTCATTAAGTACCTAATTATGCTGAAAATGCAATTATATGCTTTTTTAAGTGAATTACGTCCTCCAGAGAAGTGGTAAAGATTAGCACGCAGCATCCATCTGAGGAGCAGGTACCTCAAAGGGCAGCCGAATGTGACGCCAGGTTGCACAGGGGCCAACGGGTCTGAACCCAGATCACATGTGTGAGCACACAGGACCCCGCACAGGCTCACACACAGAGGACGCCAGCTTCACCTCTGTGTCTCCAGAACTCTGCAAAGGTCTGCTGCACACCAGGAACTTAATAAATGACAGCCATTAATGTCATTGGAAGCATAGTATACATCTGTGGAGTGACTGTTGAGCGACTTAGAGAATCTGAGGGAGGTTATTTATCCAGCATCGAAGAGGCAGGTGTGTAGAAAAAAAAATAATAACAATGAGAGAAGGATCAGCCGGGACATGTCAGAGGATATTTTATACAACATCACTCATTCATTCAGATGCTAGAGCAAAAAATATACAGTCAGTGTCTTCCAGGAGCTCAAAAATGAGCACAGAGACAGAGAAAGCATCTTAATGGTGATATGGGCAGGTTGTACAGCAAACTACAAAAGTATTAACCCCCTGGGCTAGATGCAACCTGTGGCCTGCTTTTGTGCAGTCAGCTAGCTAAGAATGATTTGTACCTCTTTAAGGTGCTTCCTCACTTCCACCTCATGCAGCTCAGGTTCCCAGTCCACGGCCTTAATCACTCACTGTACATCCACAGCTCCAGTGGGTGATCCAGAGTACTCATTACATCCAGGAACCAAACCTCATATTTCTTCATAAATATGGAAACAAAACCGTGAAGCCAAATAGTTGATAAAAGCAAGATTCATTATGTCTCGGAGAAGGAAGACAACAATGTGGATAAAGATGAAGAAGTTGAAGATGGCCACAGGTGTTGCTAAAGGAGGTGATGGAGAAAGATGAGGCCAAGAGGAGAAACTGAGTCTGCACACTTCAGCGTAGGGTTTCCCTCCATCAGGCCAAAATCCAAGGGACAGCTTGGAGCTTCCCTTCAGAAAATCCTGGCAGGGGACTCTCAATGAGCCTAGGAAGCGAGAGGAACATTTCCGGTGTCTCTAGTAAACTATTCACACTGGAGACCCCTGAGAGGTCAGCTGAGTACCACAGCAGTAACAAACTCAGAGAACTCGAGAAGGAAGGCCTCTGGCCGGTGGTTATGTGATTCCAAATGCCCAGCCTCTCACCTGCTCCCTGAGAGGCCAGAACTTCCCTTCATTTCCACCTGCAGAAGCAAGGGACTAGGGGTGAAGCATGGACTGAAGCCACAGCCCACATTTCTCAATCTGCAATCGCAGCCTAGGGAAAGGGTGATAGGAGTTGTGGTCACTGAGTGCACTATCTCTTTTCCACAACATGCATGTCTTTCTTGGAAATGAAAATGGCTACTTGGAGCATCTGCTGACCAGATTAGGCAAAGGATGTGTGGGCACAACACGGAGAGGGCCATTCAGAGAGGGTGACCAGGGTCCCTCTATCCAACAACAGCCTGATGCCAGCCCACAGGAAACACCGCCAAGTGGTTGCAGGTGGCCAGTGGGAACCTGGAGCAAGGCAGGCAGATCGGGGCAAGAGGAGAAACTGAGTCTGCACACTTCAGTGTGCAGGAAAGGACCTTCACAGACCTTCTAGTTGGACACTTTGAAGAGTCTTCAAGACAATAGCCAGTTCTGAAGATTCATCCCCATTTCTCCACTGCAAAAGAAACACACGGTTTTTGTAGATGACTTGGAAAATACAAACAGCCATATGTTTGAAGAAAACAAAACCACTCATGGCCCGTCCACTACTTAAAAGCTGGCACTTAACATTTTAAGTGTATTTCCTTTCATTCCTTTGTCTTAAGACTTGGTGGAATATTTCTCATCACTTTTATTTAGAGAAATAACACCAGTTAACATTATACCCTAAACATTTTCTCCTGTTGCTAAGTTCACGTGTACCCCTTCCCTAGTTGCGTAATACTAGGTCATAGGGACGTATCATAATTTGTGAAATCAATGCCCGCATAGGGAACATTTAGACTGTTTTCTCTCTTTAATTTTTTCATTTTAGACTGCATTGCAATTCACTTCCTGAGCATGGACTTTTGTTCCTGTTCCAGATTATTCCTCTAGTATCAATTACTAGAAGTGGATTGCTAGATTCTGAGGGCGATACATATGCCCAATAGTGTACCAGAGCATTGAAGGTACTTGTTTCTAGGAAACACTTTGGCATAATTGATGATGTGAATAATTAATATTCAAATAGCCTGACCTATGTCGGGCACTGTGTACCACAAACTAGCTTACAACGAGGCTACACAGTCATACCACCAGGTTTTACATGTGAAGAAGCCGACATTTGCAGTGAGCTGAGATTGCACCATTACACTCCAGCCTGGGCAACAGAGCAAAAACTCCATCTCGGAAAAAAAAAAGAAAAAGAAGAGCGACATAGCATTTCTCAAAATGATCTGGCCACCAGTGTCCCCGCTCCATGAGTGTCCATGAGTGTCCACGCTTGTCCTCGCCATGCCTGGCAAGTGTGCTGATATCACAGTGGGACAGCCAGATGCCTGGCCCTGAGCCTGGCAGATGGGTGACCCCGGGAATACCGTGTGCTTCCTGCGCACCTTCACTCTCCTCAGGGAGGTGTCTGGATGGAGCTGGGGCTGGAAGTACGTGCGTCCACGGTGTTCCGTGCTCCAGCCACCTCTGGTGGAGCTCGGAGCTGGCAAATCAAGCAGATGCTGATTAGGATACCCAGGCCCTCCTGGCTCCTCTGCATATAGCCATTTCCTTTGCCATTTTGGTGCGCCAAACACCTATTTTTAGAGAAGCGTTTCCCTGCTACCTCACTGGAGCTCAGCTATCCTTAAATCAATCAGCAGTGATCTGGTAGTGGCTCAGCTGGGAACACTTGCTTAAGTGTTGCTGAAGCCATCCTCACTCTCAACTCCCCTCCCTCAAGCCCTCAGTCTGTGCCTGAATTCTTCCTTCTTTGCTGGAACAGATGGACAATGGAAGACAGGAAGCAGGGAACTCCTTCAACAACTCCTAAGGCGGTGGGGAGCCATGAGAGACGGGCTGGGAAATGTAAAGACCAGGCCAGGCAGGAAAAAAAAAAAAGAGGTTTTTAGCGCAACATCATCTGAAAATGCAAGAGAAGAGAGGCTCTTGGTGGCAAACAGAGGAGCGTGACTTCCAGTCTCAGGAGCTATGGAGCAGAAGGGCGTGTGCATGGACCAGACCCTGGCACAAGGACCCCTAATCCTCAACCCAGCACTGTGGGGGCAGGCAGGGGACAGGCAGAAGGAATATTCTCAGTCCTCCACTGTGCCGGGTCCCCATTTCTCTCAGGGTGAGGCTCTCTTGAGCCTGGATGCTGACTCATGCTCAGGTGGCATCTCTCCACTTAGCAGGACGTGGTGGCGGGCACCTGTAATCCCAGCTACTCGGGAGGCTGAGGCAGGGAAAATCACGTGAACCCGGAAAGTGGGCGGGGGGGCGGAGGTTGCAGTGAGTCGAGGTGGCGCCATTGCACTCCAGCCTGGGATATTTGCTGCTTCACTGATAAACCACAAATGCCCCACCGACGACAGCTGACAAGGTCCTTTCCCTAGTGGTTGACAAGGGCAACTCCACCTTGTTCAACCAGCCTTTTACCCCCAAATTTCCCCCTTTAGGGCCCCTTGCTGATTTCTGCTGTTGTCAACACCCTGCACTGAGGAGACAATGGTTTCACTTTTTCACATTCTTGCCTCACAATGGAGAAAAAACACTCTTTCCTCTTACTGAGATGTTGTAGCCCAACTGAGGCAAATTGGTTATGGTGTTAGGGGTCTGTTTAGATTTTTTTTTTAAAGGCTTAGGGGGAATAACAGGGAAATCCACACAGAGAAAACCCTGGAACCAGACACTTCAAGTCTAAGTCATGGCAGCCTCGCATTCTTTCCAGGGAGCACATCCAGGGAGCACGCCCCAAAAGCAAATGACTAGCTATGAAACATTCTCCAGCAAGACTCCAAGATGTACATAAGAAAGAGGTGTCTTTTCCTGACTCTGCCTTCTAAGTGTTGCGCCTCTGCTTTATCCCAATTCACTGACGTGGGAAAGACTGTCTTCTCCAGGGCAGAGAGGCCACCTCTCCTCCCCACCCACCCTTGGAGGCCTCCACACTTCCATGCAGATGGTGTAATGCAGCCTGCGAGGTTCCAATCCTGCCATCCATGTGGTGTTTTGATACCGTGGCAGCAGATTAGACTGCATAAGGGTTAGAAGGAGGAAAACGTTGCTGCTCATCTTACAGAGTGTCAAAGCAGTGCAGCTACATCGCACAGCCCCTTGGCAGCCCTGAGGACTGGGGACCGGGGGGCGCTCTTTGTAAGGTCACCGGTAAGGAACTTCAGGGCAATCATTCTAACCTTGAGACTTTTAGACAGGTTCTGAATAGGCTGGTCAAGTTCACATCAACCTCACCTGTGTACTCCATCTGAAAGACCAGATAAATGCACACGTGCTTTCTGCACAGATGGGAAGGGTGACCACACCTGAGAGCGTGGGCACATTGAAGCCCTCATAGCACACATCCAACAGGTCCCTGGAGCCCAGGCTCTGACACATACTGACCAGGCATCAAGGGAGGCTGTCTACCCAACCCAGAAGCTTACTGACCACACTATCAACACGGCCTTCCCTTCATGTATCTCTCCTACCACCATGCCCACTACCACACGGGCACTGCCCACCCACCATCTCAGGACAGACTTGGGACCACCTCTTCCAGGAAGCCTTTTTTGTTTTGTTTTGTTTTTTGTTTTTTCAGATGGAGTTTCACTCTTGTTACCCAGGCTAGAGTGCAATGGTGTGATCTCGGCTCACCGCAACCTCCACCTCCTGGGTTCAAGCAATTCTCCTGCCTCAGCCTCCCGAGTAACTGGGACTACAGGCACGCGCCACCATGCTCAGCTAATGTTTGTATTTTTAGTAGAGACCCATGTTGACCAGGATGGTCTCAATCTCTTGACCTCATGATCCACCCGCCTCGGCCTCCCAAAGTGCTGGGGTTATAGGCGTGAGCCACCGCACCAGGCCCCAGGGAGCCTCTTCTGAGGACACTGAAGGTTTGTGGGCTCCAGCAGAGAGCAACCCTTTCCCCAGCCTACCAGTATTTGCCCTCGTCGGTTACACAGCATGCTCCTGACTGTAGGGCTTGGCCTTAACGGTGGAGCATATGACTGGAGCATAGGGGGTGCTATAAAAGGTTTGCTGAAGGAAAGAATGAGCCAGCTCAATCATGAGCATCCCCACCGCCATAGACTCCTAGAGTCCTGGGGCTCGGTCTCATGATTGTGTCTTCACGAGTCCCCCAAGCACCACATCAATGCTCATTTTGATGCTTCATTGCATAGAGACTGTGGGCAGTCTGACTTTTGCAACTCCCCAGCCAAGTCATATGCTTCCTGGGGACACACACCATGCTCTCCTCTTCCCTGTAACTCTGGGGCTGGGTCAATGCTAACTGCTCAGCCAACATTGGCTGGCTTCTAGGAGAAATGGACGGGTGGGTAATAAGCTATTCGTTTATTTCTTGCGGGCACTTATATTCTGAGACCTTAGAGCCTGAACACTGCATCTTTTCCAGAAGCAATAATGACAGATCCTCAAGGGCAAGTAAATGCATTTGACCATTCCTATCAAAAAGAAAAGTGAGTTAATGTACTTCACCTCTCGTCTGATTTCTACTTCACTTATGCAAGGATGCTGAGGGATCTGGAGCAGGAAGAAAAATCCCAGTGCTAGCCGAGAAGAACTTCCCGTGCCCACAAGGTTACTGTTCCTTCCCCATAGCTCTTGAATCCCAAATCAGACTTGCACTAAGCTTTGCTGCTTCAGAGTGCTTGGTAAATTGACTTTTCTTTTCTTTTTTTGGGTGAGGGGGAGAGATTCTCACTCTGTCACCCAGGCTAGAGTGCAGTGGTGCTATCTCAGTTCACTGCAACCTGAGCCTCCCAGGTTCAAGTAATTCTCTTGCCTTAGCCTCCTGAGTAGCTGAAATTACAGGTGCCCACACCACGCCCAACTAATTTTTGTATTTTTAGTAGAGACGGGGTTTCATCATGTTGGTCAGGCTGGTCTCAAACTCCTGACCTCAGGTGATCCACATGCCTCAGCCTCCCAAAGTGCTGGGAATACAGGTGTAAGCCACCACACCCAGCCTGGTAAATTGATTTTTCTAACCAAACGTGTAGGTTCCTCGCAATTGAACACCCCGGGTAACTGGCACAGCACTTGGCCAACTGTCAAGCAGTCAACACTGTCGCTGTTGCATCACTGTCGCCAACAAAGCTTGTCAATGTGGGAATTCTCCAAGGACCCCCGTGACAAACGTACATGTCCTATCATGATTTTGAGGCTGAAATCATCTTTCTCCTCTCAGAACACCTAGGTGTTCTAGTCTGAAGCCATCCTCATATTCAATGCCCCCTCTCAAGCCCTCACTCTCTGCCTGAATTCTTCCTTCATTCCTGGACCAGATAGACAGTGGAAGACAGGAAGTGGGGAACTCCTTCAACAACTCCCAAGGCAGAGGGGAGCCATGAGAGATGGGCCGGGAAATGTAAAGACCAGGCCAGGCAGGAAAAAAAAAAAAAAGAGCTTTTTAGCGTAGCATCATCTGAAAATGCAAGAGAAGAGGGGCTCTTGGTGGCAACAGAGGAGCGTGACTCCCATCCTCAGGGCCGGCGCCTAACCGCTGCTCTCCGTCCACATCTGCAAAACACCACCGGCCCTGAGAATCCATTGCAGTTGAGATCCTGCACCCCAGTGGCTGCACTCAAGCTGCCAACTGAAGCAGAGAGCACTCCCTGCACTGCAGGCTCATGCCTGTGTGCCCTGCTGCCTCCAGGGGTGGCTGCCTTCCACCAGAGAATGGACAGCTGACACCCTGAGGACACAGAAGTTGGTAGGATTTGACTGCAGTCAGTGGCAAATTCCATGGATGGAAAGGCATTCCCAGCTCCACAAAGATGAGCATAGTGAAGGATGCAGTTTAGTTGATTCGTGGTTCCCCAGAAGGCTTTCAAACATTTCAGCATTCATCACTCAGTGCCAGGCACCCAGTCCAATGCTGGGTACAGAGTTGTGAGCAAGACACGCCTGAACTTGTGGAGCTTTGTGTCTGGGGTGGGTATTTCAGGAGGCGGGTGGGTGGGGAGGAGACCTTGCAACCTGGAGGAGGGCTGGAAAAGAAAAGTAGGTCTTTCCAAAAAATGGGTCCTCTCATGTCTGTCCAATTGTGCTGGATAATTGTCTATTTCTGATACCAGAACCAAGCTTGGCCATAATTAACACTTACTCTGCCATAAACCCACCCCCAAGGCTGCCCACAGATCACCGCCACCCTGGTTGCTGAGCTCAGCATGATTTTAATCCCAACCTCATAACTATCCCTCAGCTCCAGCAAGGGGCAATCTCATTCCGGGTCCCTTAAGCTGGATGCAGACGAAGCACTTACCTTCTGGGCAGGATCTGAGCTCACTCAGCCAGCCTTCTCCAAAGACCTGACATCACTGCTGCCAGCTGAATGGGCACAGAGCAAGGGAGTGCACTGAGGAGGGCTCTCACCCCTCCATCTCTAGAGGCTTTCACTGCCTTGGCGCCGTGGATGGCAAGCAGACACTGGGGAGAAAGCTGAGAAGTGGGGAGAAGTGCCTTGGATGCTGAGCTGTCTGCCTGGAATGCTTATATGCTTTGTGCAGCAAACTCCTATTTGTCTTTAAAGGTCCAATCCTGATGTCACCGCTTCTGGAAGCCCCCTTTGTACCAGCGCTTCCCAGCCTACAGCATGCCTCAGAATCTACTACAGTAATTACTGGGTCCCAGTCCTAGTGTTTCTCATCAGTAGGTCTGGGCTGGGACCTGAGAATTTCTATTTCTAACAGGCCCCCAGAGGATGCTGTGTACCCAGAGACTACGCTTTGAGAACCACTGTCTCACAGCATCCGCACCTTCCCAGACAGGCCCGAGCTTCCTCTCTATGCTAATTCCAATCTATTAATATATGGCAGCTCTAGTTAGGCTGAAACGTCACTTCCCTGGAGTCCATCACATTGTGAAACGTGTGAATTCAGTCCACACACTTGGAGGAGGTGGGGCATGGAGAGGGCAGTTCCAGCTGAGGGACCTTTCCTGCCCACCATGCTCCTCCGTGAGCATGAGCTTGGAGGGAGCCCACATTGGGAGGCACAGCTGGCAATGCCTTAGTGGTCTCAGGTCCCACCTGTCCCCCCAGCCTGGCTGGCCTGCTGGAAGAGTGTGTAGTCTCCCAGTATACAGATTTGGATACAGGGTCCCTAACCGCAAGCCAAGAAATGTGCCCCAAGTTGTCCAAGCCAAGTACCTCATCTGGAAACCAGCTTACCAAGGCTCTCCACTTGGCAGTGCCCTACAGGGTTGAACACACTGACTCAAAGCTGCCTGGGCTTCAAATGATTGACTTCTGACACTCCTGGTAGCTCTACAAGCTAGGGGAAAATAACACGTTTCTGGGACTCAGCTGCCAAATCTGTAAAATGGGGCTAATAATAACTCCTATGGAATGGAACTGTTGCAAGGACTAAGTTAAAATGCATTAAATATTCAAAGCAGGATCTGGCATCTAGTAAGCAATTATTAGTTGTTTTAAAGGAAGAGGAAATAACAGTCTCTTCTAACCCTGATTGTGCTGGACAAAGTGTCATAAGAAATACTGGTCTTCATCTGGAAAATTTCTAAGGGCAATTCTGGGTATTTGAGCTTCTATAATCATCCATGCTGACTTAAGCAAGGTGTTATTCTTGCTGTCTGAACTTTGAGGTGCTTAGTGGTTGGAAAAGTCTAGAACCCCACCACTGAATCCATTCTTTTACACATGCATGCATTTACTCATGCATTCAGTGGATATTTATTGACTAGTTACTATCTGCTAGATACCAAATTGGAGGCTGCACTTGTTCACTCTGTGTAATAAAATCTAGCACCCACTTGAACTTGCTATGGCTCCTGCTTCAGGTCTTGCTACTAAAGAAGTGCCGTGAATGCTGGACCATCCACTCTGCTTGGTCCCTGGCTCCCCAGGCCCTGACTGCTGGTGTGTTCACTGGGTCCCTTTGCTGACTCAATGCCTTACATTATGTTCTTCCCCACTTCCAAGCTCCTTACTGATTTCAGACCCCTCTAGCTTGGCCCACCTGCTTCCTGCAGTGGACCTCTAGCCTAGAGTCTGTTTTCCCCTCACGCACTATGACTCCTGACACCAACAGCCAGCATCTTATAAGAAAGAGGCATCTGGCTACTGCACTGGGGAGAATGACCTCATAGCACTATAATTAAAGTGATTATGTGAGTGGAAATGACTTATGAAGCATCCTTCTCTGTCTTATTATGCAAAGCCATTGTAATACAACCATGGGATTTCTCATGTTAACACTGATATTTCTGTGGTCCAATAAATCCTTCTTCACAATCACCTCCCAGAAGAGAGAAGGCATTCTCTGCAGTAGCTCTAGGAAACATGCAGGTCCCTGATGGAGACCGGCTAGGATGTCTAAGACATCGGGGACCTGCATGTTCCCTAGATGTGAAAAAACACACTCAGTAACTTGGACAGTGCCATAAAGTGGTCTTTCCCACAGGATACTCTATATAAAGACCTGGGAAGGGCTTCTCCAAGAGAGAAAGAAAGGGAGTGCTCTCCAGAAGCAAGAGCGCTGGCTAAGTCCTGACCTGACATTTGATGGGCAGTGTGATCATGGGCACACCACATCTCTGAGTCTTGGTGTTCTTCCTGTGAGATGGACCAATAACACCAGGCACCTCATAGGATTGCTGTGAAGACTGCCTGATGTAGTAGATAGAAGGCAACTAAAGTAACACCTGGTGCTATAATTTGGATGTGGTTTGATTCTGCAAAAACTAATGTTGAAATTTGATTCCCAATGTGGCAATGATGGGAGGTGGGATCCAGTGGGAGATATTTGAGTCATAGGGGCAGATCCATCATGCATAGATTAATACCCCCTTGAGGGAAGGAGGGAGTTCTTTCTGTCACAGGACTGGATTAGTTACTGAAGAGCAATGTGTTATAAAAGCACGCTCAGCTTTCTAAACTCTCTTGCTTTCTCTATCACCTGTGGTCTCTTTGCAAATGTCTGCTCCCCTTCTGATTTTTTCCATGAATGGGAGCAGTATGAGGCCCTCACCAGATGCAGCTGCCCAATTTGGACTTCCCAGCCACTAGAACTGAGAGCCAAATAAACCTCTCTTCTTTATAAATTACCCAAGTATTCAGTTACGGCAACACAAAATGGACTGAGACACCTGGTGTGAGCATCAGTTACTCCACAAATGGTCTGTCTTAAACACAACAAGAGTCCCTGCCTTCATACACACCACGGATATCTGTTGGGCATCTACCAGGTGCAGACACTACCCTCAGTGCAGGCATATGGCAGAGAACTCAAACGGGCCTGGAGTGACCTGGTGGTTCAGGTTCATACAGTTCCCTCCAACCCATCAGTGACCAAGCAGAACCTGGTTCCTGGTCTGTGCACCCCTGCCAGGACTCAGTGGCTGCACCACACTGCCCCTGTCCACCAGGGCCCATTCACAGAGCTGCTCACACCTGAGCAAAGGATCCAGCTTGGGCTACAGTGCTTCTAGGCATGGAAAGTCTCTAACCTCAGACTTTTGCCTCTGTTCACAGAGCCTGATCCAGGGATGGCCTCTGCCTCCACCACAACAGACATTGCCATCATTGCAGGTGAGCTGTCACTGCAGAGCCCTTCAAGCAGCCAGGGTGAGGGGCCTTGATGAAAACACCCAGAGGGAACTGACCTAAGGACTTGGGCAGGGGTGGCTGTGGCCATTTTTTTTCTCTCCTTCAGCTGTGGTTTTGAATGTGGAATGGAGCAGTCTAGTCCTGGGTAAATAGGTATGTATGTATATTTATCGGCCCCTCCCAGGGCTGTTGATTCACAGGAACTCAGGGGCTAGAGACAGCAGCTTTGGTGAGGGAGGTTGAGGGTGGAGGTGGGATGGGGGTGGATAGACCAGGCTTCTTGGACTTCTCTGCCATCTCCCTCATCTCATATTATTTTCTGCCCTGGGTCCATGCACCCCCAACCCTATCTCCTCAAGGAAACGTGAGCCTACCTTTGCCTTGCTTTGAACCCTGGGCACGTGGTTCCCCATGGCTCATGGCTGTGACTGTGAACTATGTTTCAGGAACAGCCGAGTTTGGGAGGTGCTGTGTGCCCTGTGTCCTTCTGTGAGTTCCACACTTCTCAGCAGCTTACTAATAACTCAGGAAACACAATTTAAAAGGAAAGGAAAAGCAGCAGAAGCAAGCCATCAAAGACACCTGTTGGACTCTGTGTAATCTGGCATTCTCCAACTCACTGCACCACTGAGCTCTTTTTCTTCTTAGATGGTATTACTAACATTATGCAGACGCAATTGTTCCCCTGAAGGCAGTAGGAAGTTTAGGAAATCGTTCCATAATGGTGGGACTTGGGAGCAGTTTTAGACTTTCCGTATTCTCCAGCAGTCCCTCCCCAAGGCCTCCAGATAAACCCTCATTCTAAAAAAAGACAGAAGCTTGTTCTGCAGCTTTAGAGCAAATGCCCAAACTCAAACACCCTGCCCCATGAGACTGCTGCCCCCTCACTCTCCAGGCCCTGAGTGATCTGATCCCTCCTGAGCAGCCTCACACTGTCCTTCCCCACCCTTCTGGAGCCCCAGCAGAAGTGAAGGGTGACCGTCCCCAACACACACCACTTTGGCATCCTCTCAGGACCCTCTCCCTCTTCGGTCCTTTCTGTGGCCAAGTCCTGCTCCTCCTGCAGATTCGCCACAGTCCTCACTCCCCAGGAAGGAATGGGAGCAGGTGAGGGTGAGGAGGGGCCATCAGGCCTTTGAAAAACACAAACTGTACAACCTGCCCCAAGCACAGTTAATAGCCTCATCTTCCCCCCCCTCCCCGCCCCCCATATACTGTACATAGAGCAACCAGCTCTGCCCTCCTTTCTGGGACTTTCCTGGTTTTAGAATGGAAAACCTCCAAAAAAGTTTCAGTCCTGGGGTAGGACCCTAGCCTGTCAGCAGAGTGCTTAGTAACAAAACTGTGGGGAAGAAAAAGAGAAGGGAGGGGAGGAGGGAGAGGAGAGGAGAGAGGAGGATCATTTTAGAAAAGCAGAGATCCAGGGCAAGTACACAACAGGCTGATGCAGCATGCGAAAGGAATGAACCAGCCTCTCTGGGGTTGGTACAGATGTCTCCGATGAACAGTGGTTCAACTTAGGAGTTTCTGAGTTTGCAATAGCACGAACGCAAACATAACCAGTAGAAACCGTACTTTGAATTTTGAATTTTGATCCTTTCCCAGGCCGGCAATAGAAAGTACGATACACTTTACTATAAAATAGTCTCTGGGTCAGATGATTTTGCACAGCTTCAGGTTAATGTAAGTGCTCTGAGCCTGCTTACACTACCTTAAGCTAGGCCAAGCTTTGACGCTCAGTAGGTTTGGTGTACTAAATGCAATTTTCACTTACAATAATTTTGACTTACTATGGGTTTACAGGAACCTGGTTCCCATCATAAATCAAGGAGCATCTGTTTTGGCTGTGGCAGCATATCTGTCCTCACACAACCCCTGTGGGTCCTGACCCCCATCCTGGGTCCCAGGGCCCCTGCCTCAGGCTAACCCTTGCATGTCTTCCCACCTGCAGGTGTGATTGCCGCTGTGGCCATCGTCCTAGTCTGCCTCCTCATTGTCATGCTGCACTACATGTGCCGGCACAAGGGCACGTACCACACCAATGAGGCCAAGGGCACGGAGTTTGCTGAGAGTGCGGATGCAGCCCTGCAGGGCGACCCTGCCCTCCAAGATGCTGGTGACAGCAGCAGAAAGGAGTACTTTATTTGAAGGGCAACAAACTTTACTTCCCCAAATGCCTTCTCCACCTCCATCAGGAAAAATGTACCCCACTGTCCAGCACCCCTACTGATACCACCAGGCAGCCGGAGAGAGCATTTGCTTCTTCCCAAGATACGCACCTGGAAACACTAGGTGCCTGCCCAGGAAGGAACGGAGGAGGACTTGGGCTTCATCAGGCCTTGCCCAGGGACCCAGGGAGGCAGTGGCCACCTCAGGGGCCACCCTTTGCTCCACCAAGGTGGGAGAAAATCTGGGCACACAGGGCCCCTGGGCAGTGCAGGACAACATCATGTCACTGGCAGGAAAGTCCTTGTTGAGGGTGAAGGGGTGCTGGGGTACCGGGGGGCTGGGGAAGCAAGGAAATAAGTCATCTGTATACTGACTGGGGATAATGGCATCAAATGTCAGCCCTTGACATTTAGGGGGAACAGCAGGTGCCAGAGCTAAAAGGTACCTTTGTCTCCCATTGATTCAGCTCAGAACAATTGGAAATAAATTTGAAATGTAGCCGAGCATTCATGGTCCAACAGTATTACTGTAGTTGTCTGGGGAAAGGTAAATGCCACCCAGGGCTTGCTTTTCACCTGTCTGATATGATGTCCTCTGATGGGGCCAGGACAGTTCATTTCTGGCTCCTGCGAGGGCCAGTTCTCAGAGCGCACAGCCAGTACAGGTGGCTCCCAGGCCTGCCAAGGGAGGGAGGATGAGTGATCAGTTTTCCTTTTCCTGCAGAGGCACCAGCTGCATGAAACGAAAGGAAGGGTGAAATGTCCCTCTAGAAATAGCCTGTCCCAGTGGCCAGGGCACTGGCTGAAGCACTGATTTTCCAAGGTGCAGTATCAGAACAAATGGACCTGATCCAAAATTGTGAGTGAATCCCATCCTCCCAATAATGGTGACCATGGCAACCAGTGGTTGGGGCAGAGACTGCAGAGCCCCACTGCCTGATTTTGGGTCCCAGCTCCGCTTTCCAGGTCCCAGGACCTTGAACAACTCGTTCGACCCTTCTGGCTTCAGTGTTCTCCTCCCTCACATGGAAATGATGCTGATACTGGTAGCTGTGTGGTGCCTGACTCACAGCGTTGAGGTTCAAGTGCTCAGAGCTCCCTATCTTCCAGTGTCATCAGCTGTGTGCAGCAGTAAGAGAAGGTGAACTGGTTAACCATCCCTTTCCAGGCAAGTTTTTCCAAGATTCCCAGCAGCTTAGCTGTCACTCCAGGGACTAGCAGCTGTGAGGTTAAAGACTGCACGCGAGGTGCTGAGATCACCTAAGTTCTTCCTGGGGCCCAGGCTTCTCAAGGCTGCACCATCTCTACATGGGAGTTGGCAGAAAGTCCCATAGATCTCCCTGGGAGGATTATGGGCATGCAAGCTCAGTGGGATGTCCACCAGCCAGAGGAGCTGGCAGTCCTGAGGCCATGGTGGAGAGGATGAGTCAGGAGCTCACAGAAGCAGTGATGGAAGAAGCCTGGTCCAAGAGTGAGACCTTTCCCTGGTGACCCAAGCTCTCAGGCCTTCATCTATAAATATGTACAAGGCAGTTTAGAAAATGATGTATCATGCAAAGTGAAAGCCGTGCAGACTCCTCAGCATCTTCACTGGCCCAGTGTGGACGCTGACACTGGTGGGAGGGGAGGAGTGCACACAGCCTTTCCCAAGTGTGCTGAGCCAGAGGCCCCATTTATTCATAGGATGCCTGCTAAGAACTTGTGGACCAAGTGGTCCTCGGAGCACACTTTGGAAACACTCGACTAAATGGCTTCTAATATCCCTTCCTGTGGCAATGCCATTTCAGGTTTTTGAGCACCATATCTTCCAGGTTTAGGAGCACAAATCACTGTCCATTGGGCACAGAGGAGGCACCAGAACCCACACGTAGACATGCGTTGGGATGAAAAGGCTCAAGGAAGATAAGCCCAGAGCTCTCCAGGGCCCCTAGAGTGCAGGTGCCTGTGTGGAGGAAGGATGATGGTAACTCACCCCTTTCTCCCTCATTGGGCCCAGGAGCTGTCTATACTAAGCCTGGCTCCCTGGCCACTCACCTCCCTTCATCCTCACTCCTGCCTGCCCAGTGTCCTGGAAAACTATTGAAACACCGTTTGCTCCCAGCCCACTGGGTCCCCAGAACCAGCCAGAATCAGGCTGAGCAGCAGTGGTGATGACATGGAAGCTGCAGAGCAGAGTTGTCCCAGGTGGCCTAGCTCAGATGGCAGGAGAAGGGAGCTGTCACAGGCTAACTGCAGAGGCCAGAAAGCCACATCAGAGAGCAGGGCAACTTAGAGATGATGCCCGCGTGCACATGCACGCGCACACACACACACACATACACACACAAGCGTGCGCGCGTGCGCACTCACACACACACACACACACAGAGTGCACACTGGTGAGTAATTAATAATGCTCTCTTAGATTAGGGACCAGGTTTTTAAATCTTTGACCCTTTCTCCAGCAATGCACTGAGTCATTCCGCAGCATGCCTGCAACCATTGTTAGTTGGGGTAAGTAATGCACAAATTTGCACATACCAGAGTCAAAAAACTGTTAAGAAGGAAGATAAAGGAGAGGAAAGGAAGAGAAGGGATGGGCCAGAGAAGGGCTGAAAGAAGAAGCACAGAGCTCTGTCTGTAGAAAATCCCAGCTTCTTTGCACATAAGCCTCCTTTAATCCTCAGAATAATCCTGGCAAGTGGATATCCTTATTTTCCCTTTAGATCTGTAGAAATTAAGGCTTAGAAAGGTCAATGAGCTTTGCTGGAGGTCTCGCGGCTTCTAATGGCAGAGGAACCATTTAACTCAGGGCCTTCGGGCCTCCCTTCAGCAGGTGGAGATGAGTCAGCAGGAGCCCCACAGGGAGCAGAGCAGGTGACATCGAGACTCATGGATATTGGCACAATTCATCAGTGTTGGGATCAAAGAATCCCCAGCCAGGTCTCTGCTACCCAGTGGTCCTGCACATTGATGGCCCAGGCACCTCTACCAGCATCCCCATCCCCAATCAGAGATCCCCTGGGATGAGAGGTCGCTCCTCCTGGTGGGAAGAGATGATGCAGTGGAGCCTACCTGCCCTTGGTGGGATGATTAGCTTGTAGAGATAGCAAGTACTGCCAGCCTAGCACACCTGGTTCATACTTCCAGCACCCAGGACACTTGCACCCAGGACACTCTTATGAAAAGGAAAGCAATCATCTAGATTACATCATGCCAAAGCATCCTTACCAACCCTTCTTAGATGATTTGTGCTTCTTAAAAGTGCTCATTCCCTTATTATGCAGCCATAAAAAAACGATGAGTTCATGTCCTTTGTAGGTACATGGATGAACCTGAAAACCATCATTCTCAGCAAACTGACACAAGAGCAGAAAATCAAACACCGCATGTTCTCACTCATAGGTGGGTGTTGAACAATGAGAACACATGGACACAGGGAGGGGAGCACCACACTCTGGGGTCTGTTGGGGGGAAATAGGGGAGGGACAGTGGGGGAGAGGGGAGTTGGGGAGAGATAGCATGGGGAGAAGTGCTAGATCACACTGCCACATGTGTGCCTATGCAACAATCTTGCATGTTCTTCACATGTACCCCAAAACCTAAAATGCAATAAAATTAAAATATATATATAAAATACATAAAAGTGCTCATTCCCAAACCAAGCGTATTTAATGATTAAATTTCAGATCCAGAGACAGATAATATATATATGTATATGTCTGAGTATCTGAGTATATAGCTATAATCCACAAACATTTATTAGGTACCATGTAAGCATTGGAATTACATAGCTAAATAAAGCAGCCTCTGCCTTCAGGGGTCCATGGCTTACTGGAGAAGATAGACATGTAAATATATACCAGCCCTAAAATATATGGATGCTGAGAGAGTAGTGATACAAATCAATTTAAAACGCTAAGGAGAGCGGGATCGGTTCTATCTTGGGAGTGAGATGAACTTAGGAAAGGCTTTAAAGAGGAAGGGAGGCTTGGGTCAGCTGCACAGTTTCTAAGGGCTTCACCATAGAGTGGCTTCTACTCCAAGCTAAGAAATTTGGACTTTGGTGCATAGGTAATAAAGAGCTCCTGAAGGAACAGGTCAGTCTCTATCATATGGATAAGACAATGATCAAATTAAACAAGACAAAAGATGGAAATGCCACATGGAAATTCACAAAAGGGCTTCAAAAGGCCTAGCAAGGCTTAGACCCTGGCCATGGAGCTGGAGGCCTCCCCACCCTGGGGCTCGCCTGCTCCTCCAGCTGCCCCATTGTTTAGTCTGAATTTCACATGACTCGGCCCATCCTGCCCGGAGAGAGATGGATCTCATCCATTCACCAGAAGCAGCAGCAGGAGGTCAAGGCTTTCAGCCAACTGTTATGTAAATATTACAGAGAATTTTCCCTTCTTTTTTTAATGGAAGGAACTCCCCTTCGTGATTTTATCTTTTTATCCTTCCTGGAGAGAGGCTGCTCAATTGTTTTTCATTCCTTACCTAAATATTTTTATCATCATAGCAACGGGAACGATTTAGGGGCCAACAGGATTTTAACTGGCCCAGTGCCACAAGTAGAAGTACAGATATTTTAATACTTGCAATTTAGCATGTCAGCATGATGTTAGGAGAAGAGAATGGCTCTGGAAGTGGACAGACTTGGACAAAAATCTCACCTCAGGCACTAACTCGCTGTGGACCTGGGAAGAGTCACTTAGCTTCTTGTGCTCCAGGGTTCTTATCAGTAATATGATGACCAAAATATTTGCATTTTAATGTTTTGAGTAGTAATTTAAATGAGGATATAAGCTTGCTAAGAATTGTGAAGGTTCTGAGGTTTTGCCCTGCTTTTAAGTGAGCAACTCAGCCTACGCCAGTTTCATAGATGCTGACAGAAGACATGAGATTCCTGGGTCAGAGACAAAGGCTTTATTACTTACAGCCCAGCAAGCAGCATGACATCAGCATATTTGAATGAAATCTCCTCATCTCTAAGTTCCACATGGGTGATGTGGGTGATCCTAGAGGATGTTTATCCATATGGTGGGTTGAGTTCCAGAAGAGAAATCTTGAACCAAGAAAAATCAGAATCCCATAATGGGCAGTAAAATGCCTGCCTTTTGCTCTAGAGGGAGCTACTGCTTGGTCTTCGAGGACTGTCTAATACACAAACATCTTGGACAAGGTAGCCAAAAACACAGTGCAGTTCCTGCTTCACTCAACAGATGTGAAAAGTGCAAGAGACCCATGGGGAACTGTCTCCCAACAAGGAAGCACTGTCTAACATCGTGCCTGGTATCCGTAAGTACTCAATAGATAGCTGCTGAATGAACAATGCAATCAACTAAATAACAGGGCCCATAGGTCTTTAAAGTATCCCAGCTTTCTCTCCAGAAAATCAAAAACATCTTCTGTTTCTTAAACCGCATGCAAGAGTTGAAAGAAGAAAACTTTTCTCCATCCCCTGGCCAGTGTATGAAAGACCTCGATGCAGGCTTGGTAGTTTTCATTGGTTTGCTATGAGAGGAACACATAGAGGCATACAGCTCTGAGAATTCTTGGTTCTTGGGCAGATCCATAAATCCAGAGGCCTGGCAATGAGGTTGGGTGGAGTTCACCAGCCTCTATTCTAAGAGTATTCTGTGATCAAGAGGTCTCTTGCCAATGTTGTAGAGCTCCAAAGCTGATGCTTAAGATATGCAGATCTCCTAGTCTTTTTAGAACCAAATACATTAGCCACCTTTTGTTTTTCAAGTAGCTGAAATTATTATCATTTTTCTCTCTCAAAAAGTACTTAGGAACAAGTTCTATATTCTGCTCTCTCAAGATAAAGCATCTCTGGGCTTACTGAGATGCCCAGAGTGAGGCCACTCCTTTCTACAGGGAAGGATCATTTTTTTCTGTTTTTCTTTTTTATTATTATAGTTTAAGATCTGGGGTACATGTGCAGAATGTACAGGTTTGTTACATAAGTATACACATGCCATGGTGGTTTCCTTTTTTTTTTTTTTTGAGATGGAGTCTCATTCTGTTACCAAGGCTGGCGCGCAATGGCGTGATCTCAGCTCACTGCAACCTCCGCCTCCCGGGTTCAAGTGATTCCCCTGCCTCAGCCTCCCAAGTAACTGGGATTACAGGTGCCCCCCACCACACCCAGCTAATTTTTTGTATTTTTAGTAGAGATGTGGTTTCACCATGTTGGCCAGGCTGGTCTTGAACTCCTGACCTCAGGTGATCCACTGCCTTGGCCTCCCAAAGTGCTAGCATTACAAGCATGAGCCACCGCGCCTGGCCCAGGAAGGACCATTTTGCTCATAGCTGCAGCGCATGGGCATTGTCTTCCTAAGGTGACAAATGGAGGTGTTAGGGTAAAAGGATGGTAGGCATCCAGACCTCAGTTCCCAGGCAGAGATGATACCATTAGTTCCTTCATTCAGAACACAAATGTTCTCTGCATTTACACGGCAGGAGGTGCGATGTCAGAGACCTGGAGCTGAGCAAGGCCTTGCCGGTGCCCTGGAGGACACTGGCTGCAATAAGAGATGTGTTAAAATAGCTAAAGGTGCGAAGAGTCCGTCATGGAGGACCAAATGGCCTGAGGGCGAAGAGTCCGTCATGGAGGACCAAATGCCCTGAGGGGAGGTCAGGGAAGGACTGTTGGAGGGAGAATTCTGAGGTGGGTTTTTAAGGAGCTCTCTAGGTAAGGGGATGACAGATGCAGAGAAATTGAGGTGATATTGGAATCTGCAAGTGTGCAGTTCTTCCTGAGCTTGAGGCATGGATGGAAGTAATCGAGGATGACTCCAGACCCAGAGACTGCAAAGAACCAGGTAATGAGGGGGCTGGCCACTAGGCTGTGGGGCACTGATGTTGCTTTGAAGGTGATAAGAGCCCTTTACAGGAGGAAATGGGTGTAGATATGGTCAGATTCGCAAATCACGTTGCATCCAATACTGTGGGGCGGAAGACAGCCTAGAAATTAATGAGACCTGAATAGGGAAAAGCATCTTATGAGAGATGGAGGCAAAATCCTCTTTTTTTTTAAATAAAAAATGAAATACTTTGCGAATGTGCATATGCATATAATCTGTGCACAGGGGCCATGCTAATCTTCTCTGTATCATTTCAATTTTAGTATATGTGCTGCCGAAGTGAGCACCAAAATCTTCTTTTAACACAATTGCGAATCAATATGACCCTGAATTGGTTATGAAGCACCACATGTACAGAACACACAGGCCCTGGAGCGAAAGATCAAACTAGACCTGTTTAGTTTGTGGATGGAGACTGTTCATCTGCCTTTGTAACTAAAATCTCTGTGGAAGAAACCAAGTTATCACATAGACACATCTGCAGCTCCTCTGCAACAAAAGATACCTAACTAGGATCCCAGAAAGAAAATGAAAATGAAAGCAAAGGATTCTGACGGGATACCTCATGAGACCTGCCCTCTATGCGTCTGGGAGGCCAGGAGAAGGCCAAGCTTTTGACCCAAGTGAGTCAGAAATGCTATTTTCAGCAGGGGGTGGGAGGGTGGGGAGGTATAACATGGGGAGAAATGCCAGATATAGTATGCCCCTAAAGTAAAATAAATAAATTTAAAATAAAATAAAAATAATATTTAGAGGAATCACAAAAAAAAAAAAAAAAAAAGAAAGAAAGAAAGAAATGCTACCCTTCAAGTTTTCTTTGGGATGAGTATTAGAAAGCTCTCTGCCAGGTACATCCCTCCGGGCAGGGAGGAAGCAGGGAGTAGTGAGGAGGCCCACCACCTTCCCTCTTCATCTGGAGATGAGAGAGCAGAAAAGGTGCCGAGGCACGTGTGTGCAGTGTATGGTGGGATGGACGCAGGAGGGAAGAAAACATAGATGACCATTCTCCCCAGGCTCAGCTCTGACACCCTTCTCAGATCAGAATGCCATCCTGCACCCATGTGAGAACATGAGACAGAAAAAAAGGTTGTGCTTGAGTCAGGCAAAATACCCAAAGTGTTTCAGACAAGTTTACAAAATCCAGTATGGGACTTGTCTCCCACTTTCTCACTTTCCTAAGAAATGAGGTCATGGAGATGCCAGAGGAAGCAGGCTCCACATATGTTGTAAGTACTGGATCCCTGTGCAGTGCTAGCATCTACGCAGTACTGAACAGCTGTGTACCACTAGCATCTGAGGAATATTAACACCTGTGCCATACAGAATATCTGTGCAATACTGTCCCCTATGCAATATCGAGCACCTATTCAATACTAGGCACCTGTGTAACACTGAGCACCTGAGCAATACTACAGGCACCCATGCAATACTGGACAGCTGTACAACATTAGCATCAAACAATATTTGCACCTGGGCAGTATGTACCTGTGTGATACTGGGTATGGTTGTGCAATACTAGCATCTGATCAATACTGATCAATGCTGGCACCTGTGCAATACTGGATATTTGTGCAATACTTGAAACCTGAGCAATACTAAGCATCCATTCAACACTGGGTACTGTGCAATGATTGGGCCCCCACATGTGGATGTGACGATTGAATCCATTGGTGTCTTGCAGTTGATATTCACGAGGTGAATAAGACAAGGAAGCTCCTGGGAGAGGACACGGAGCAGAGTCAGGTGGCTTTCCTCTTGGAGCTTTTTTCCTCATTAGTAAAAAGAGGGTGATAGGCTGGGCATGGTGGCTCACACCTGTAATCCCAGCATTTTGGGAGGCCAAGGCGGGCAGATCACTTGAGGTCAGGAGTTGGAGGCTACCCTGGCCAACACAGCAAAACTCCGTCTCTACTAAAAATACAAAAATTAGCTGGGTGTGGTGTCATATTCCGGTAATCCCAGCTACTCAGGAGGCTGAGGCAAAAGAACTGCTTGAACTAGGGAGGTGAAGGTTGCAGTGACTTGAGACTGAGCTACTGCACTTCAGCCTGGGTGACATAGCAAGACTCCGTCTCAAAAAAAAAGGGTGATAAACCTTGTTCTCTTCTTCATTAAACTTAGAATTGGCCAATGCAGTGAGATGCAAAGGTGCCTAAAAGTAAAGAAAGCTCTTTACCATGAGTATTTTTCATTTTTATCAATACCCTGTTGAAATGTACTGTAAGAATGATATTTTTTGTTTGTTTATATGGAGAGAGATTTTCCCCTCATAGACATGTTTGATTTTTAAAACAAGGCTCGAGATTTTAAACAGCAAAGCTGAATTGGAATTCTTGGCAGCTAACTGCAGCTACTCCCCAGGGAGGTAGAAGGAAGTTCTGCAACTTGTTTATTCCAGCCACTATTAATCACCTGCCATTGAAAAATGATTGAATCGTTGAAAAATGATTCCAGCAGGAAAAAAAATGTGCAGCTGCATTACTAATCAAAAAATACAAATATGTGTATGTATACATAACACACCACTGATCCTTGAACAGCACGGATTTGAACTGCACAGGTTCACTCATATGTAGATTTCCTTCCACCTCTGCTACCCCTGAGACAGCAAGACCAACCCCTTCTCCTCCTCAGCCTGCTCAACATGAAGGTGAAGATTTTTCCGATGATCCACTTCCACTTGATGAATAATAAATATATTGAAGATATTTTCTCTTCCTTATGATTTTCTTTTTTTCTTTATAATGTTTTTAAGCCACAGTCTCTTTCTGTTGCCCAGGCTGGAGGGCAATAGTAAAACCATGGCTCACTGCAGCTTTGGACTCCTGGGCGCAAGTAACTCTCCTATCTCAGCCTCCCAAGTAGCTAGGATTACAAGCCCAAGCCACCTCACGCAGTCCTCATGATTTTCTTACAAATGTTTTATTTTCTCTAGCTTACTTTATTATGAGAATACACTATATAATACATATAACAATTGATTAAGTTTATAGGTAAGTCTTCCACTCAACAGTAGTCTATTAGTAGTTAAGTTTTGGGGAAGTCAAAAGACGTATTTATGTATTTCCAACTGTGTGGGGGTGGGGGTGGTACTCCTAACCCTCACATTGTTCAAGGGTCAACTTTACAGTTATAGATACAGATAGATTTGATTTAGATATAGATAGGTATATGCATATGTGTATGTTCATATATACACATGTATGTGCATACATATATGTAGTAAAAATGGGTGTACATGTGTGTATTGCATTTTAACAGATTAATTAGGGCAGAGATCATTTAAAAGAATCTTACCCAAGGTCACTAGGCTCTCACTGGCTGGTGAATATAAACATGGTCATGATGTCGCTGACAGTACATTTGGCAATGTGCCAAGAATCTTATAAATATTCATATTCTTTGATCCAAAACTTCTACTTTTAAAAGTCTATCCTGAAAAAAAAAAATCCTGAAATATGGGCCAAAATTTCTGTTTGAAAAAGGCTTATAATAGCTCTATTTGCCATAGATAAAATACAGAGCTATTAAATTTGCATCATTAGGGGAATGTTAAGAGAATTATGATGCAGACTTGCAATTCAATATTCTACAGCAAGAAAACAGTATTACAAAGAATTTTTAATAAGTTGAGGAACTGCTTGTGATATAATGTTAAGTGAAAAGCATTAAAATACACAACATACCCAATATAAACTCAAGCATGCTACAAAAGCACAGAAAAGATTGGAAAAGTTCACCTGCATATTAAGGGTAATTACTCAGGGTGCTAAGACCATTAAAAGAAGTTTCCATCAAAATCAAGGAAGTTGGCAGGGTGTGGTGGCTCACGCCTGTAATCCAAGCACTTTGGAGGCCAAGGTGGGCGGATCACCTGAGGTTGGGAGATCAAGACCAGCCTGACCAACATGGTGAAACCCCATCTTTAAAAAAAAAAGAAAAAATTAAAAAAATCAAGGAAGCTTTTCAAGATCCTACCCACTTCAGAGGCCGAGACAGGAGGGAGCGTCAGGCTGCGCCTCTTCTCTTTGCCTTCCAGGATCAGACACCTTTATGGGTGTCTTTATGGGTCTTTGTTTCTGGATCCCTTCCTCCTATCAAGTACTTTTCCACATCCCCTATCAAAAATATATAATAAAAAGAATTTGAAATATTAGACAAGCCTCACCAAGAATTGGTGCTTTTGTAAATTTCACAGTATTTTCCAGCCCACCTCCAAGGGGGTGGTCTTCAGAACCAAAAGAGAAAAAGTGAATCATCGTGGTTATCACCCAAACTACATCAAGACCCTTCCTTCAGAGAGGGATTCTAGACCTGTGCCCAGCTTCACTGCTAACAGGCCATGGGTGTTTGGAAGCCAACCAGGGTGGGACTGACTGGTGAAATGGGAGATAATGAGGGCCCTCAGCTGCTAGAAGGCTCAGAAGAGGTTCCATAGCCCAGCTAAAAGATGGGGCAAGGGCTTGTCTGAGGCTACACAGTGCATTAGACACGAGCTCTGACTAACATTTCCAAGTGTACTAAGCATTTACTATGCATGAGGTATAATCTATTGATTCATTTAATGCTCACAACAATCCTTTGAGGTCGATGTTATTATTTTCTTCCCATTTTACAGATGAGGAAATAGAGAAAAGAAACTTTAGAAAGCTCATCCAGATTGCATAGCATAAAGTGGCAAAGCTGAGAGCTTTGCATAAAGTGGCAAAGCCGAGTGGCAAAGGACCTGCAGGAGAACTGCTCTAAGAGGGCCCAGATGCCCTGCTGCTTTGCTCGAGGTGGGTGGGGATACCAAACCAGCATCCCAACTTGCAGAGCTGGCATCTATTCCCATTGAAGTAGGTACTTTCTCAAGCGAACCCTCAGGATCAGGGCAAACATGTTCTCAGAGGTACCCCACAGGGTAGCTGTTCCTTTGGGATTTCCCTGCTTTACCAGAGATGTCTACCTGGGATGGGGTAATGGAGGGGGTAATAGTACATCCTTCTAGAAATGTCTTATCTGGATACAGACACTCAATTCTCAGGATACAGGAAAGCCCCAGGGGATGGTGTTGCCCTGGAGTTGAGTGGGAAGCTTTGTTCCTAGGCCAAGGCAGACGGGGACCTACGGGAACCTGAGCCAGCACAGCACCACCCATACACGATAGTGGAGAACACGCCTTCATTCCAAGCCACCAAACATGCATGAAGGACCTCCAACGTGCCTGGTCTTGTGTATACACTAGGTCTATAGAGAACAATACCTGTCCTCAGGGAGGTCCCAGAGGCAGCAACAATAATAGAAA